ACCGCTCTTTAAGATGTCTAACTCAATGGCCTGAACATAAACCAAAACCGGCATGTAGAAATGAACACCAGAGTGCCAGTCCAGAGAGTCCGAGGAAGCAATCCCCTGGGGACAACTCCATCCTTTTTGTCCACCCAGCTTCTTCTTCCCTTACTGTAAACTGTATAGACTACATGCCTTGTCTATACTTACAGCCATTATAACACACTCAGTTTTCCTGTCTGTATTCACACCTGTCTGGCATTTTCAATTTCATTGCCCATTCTTTCTGCTTGTTTTGGATGATTTTTAAATAAAGCATGGGTATGCAGGTGTTTGGAGGTGGCTTTCCAACCTTTCTAAAGAAAAAGATGCAAAGAAATAAAAAGTTCTATTTCATGAATGACTATGAGTTTCCAAAAACCAGATTCATTCTCAAAGAATCAAAATAATAAAAAAGCAACACTCAAATGTTCCAGGAAGGAAGATATATTTCAGAAAATAGAGTTGCTTTAGGGTGGCTAAAGCTGTTTGTCTCTATTTTGACTTGGACTCTATACTATGGTATAATTTTATTTTAAAAAGCAACTCATTTCAGAAAAAGAAAATACTGAATTCTGTAGGCAAAGAAATAGGAAAAAAAATCAGTTTTGTCAGTTTTTTCCCCAGATCTCTTTCAAGTCAGTGATCTGCTCAAATCTGTCCCATTTTACAAAGCATTTGGATTTTACGAAAACTGTGTGTTCCAATAAAATATGTCTGTACTTCAGTTTACAATCATAGAATCATAGAATGGTTTGGGTTGAAAGGGACCTTGAAAGATCATCTAGTCCAACCCCCTGCCATGGATAGGGACATCTTTCAATAGATCAGTTTGCTTAAAGCCACGTCCAACCCGACCTTGAACAAGTGATGTGGCCATGCCATCCACAACTTCTCTGGGCAACCTGTCTCATCACCCTTATCGTAAAGAATTTCTTCCTTATATCCAATCTAAATTTACCCTCTTTCAGTTTAAAACCATTCCGCCTTGTCCTATCACTATAGGCCCCGGTAAAAAGTCTTTCTCCACCTTTCTTATAAGCCCCCTTTATATACTGAAAGGCCGCAATAAGGTCTCCCCGGAGCCTTCTCTTCTCCAGGCTGAACAATCCCAACTCTCTCAGCCTTTCTTCATAGGAGAGGCATTCCAGCCCTCTGATCATTTTTGTGGCCCTCCTCTGGACCCTCTAGAACAGGTCCGTGTCTTTCTTGTACTGGGGACCCCAGAGCTGGGTGCAGTACTCCAGGTGGGGTCTCACCAGTGTGGAGTAGAGGGAGAGTATCACCTTTCTCAACCTGCTGGCCATGCTTCTTTTGATGCAGCTCGGGATACAATTGGCTTTCTGACCTGTAAGCACACATTGCTGGCTCATATCCAATTTTCCACCCACCAGTATCCCCAACTTCATGAGGTTCATACTGGTCCTCTTCTCAAGCCTGTCAAGGTCCCTCTAGGATGTCATCCTTTCCCTCAAGTATATCAACTGCACCACTCAGCTTTGTGTCATCTGCAAACTTGCTGAGGGTGGACTCAATCCCACTATCTAGGCCATTAATGAAGATATTAAATAGTAGTGGTCCCAGTATGGACCCTTGAGGGACTCTTGAGTTTCTTCAGCTGTATCTAGTGTGTATATTCAGCTCTACTTTCATTTTACTTCTCAGTCTTCAATCTAATGCTGTGAATGTCTTCTCTTTTACTGGGGTCTTTTTCTGAAGCAGTCACCACATTCCCAGATTTCCTTTTCCCCTGGGCTGTGTCCTCATCACTATGTTTTTATCCAAATCATATAACATCTGACATGTACCTTCATTTTATGTGTCTGTTTAATTCCTTCTTACCTACAGTCTTGTTTGTCTGAAAATACCATAGAATTCAGATAGTTCTACTGCAGTGATTGTCCTGAATTTTGTGTGACTAAATGCAGCAGATGAACCAAGGTTTCAATGTATTTGTCTGTCCCTCACTCACCCCTCCCAAGCACCAACAGCCATGTGCCAGTCCTCTTTCTACATGTCTTACAACAGCTCCCCAGTTAGATGAACATCATTGCACAATCTAGTGTTATCCTCCCACGATGGTTAGGGGTTAGAGCACATGAAGAAGGAAGAAAAACTGAGGGGGCTGGTTCTGTTCATCTTGTAGAAGAGATGCCCCCAATCCAATAGCTATCTTCAACTATCTAAAAAGGGCTTGCAGAGAAAACAAAATCAAGCTCTTCTCTGAAGTGCACAGTGACAGGACAAAAGGCAGTAACCGTGAGCTGCAGCAAGGGAAATTCCTACTGCTGACTGTAGCACTGGAATAAGTGCTGAGAGAGGATTTAGAGTCTCCATCCTTGGAGATTTCCCAGATTGGACTGGACAAGGCCTTGAGCAACCTCATATAGCTTTAAACTTCAGTCGGCTTTGAGCAGGAGGTTGGATTAGATACTTCCAGAGGTCTTCCAGACTTTCTATGAGTCAGTGATTCTATGATTTACACCTCTTGAAGACCCAGAGATGATTCTAGCAGTTGGCTGAGGTAGTGGCAAGGAATAAGTTCCAACAGTGAGTAACAGGGATAACAAGAATCAGACAGGGTAGTGGATGCATTTGAACCTGAAAAAGGGAGAGAGTGAGAAAGAGGACAGTGATTTCAGTGGCACTGTAGTCAGAAAACCAGCACTCTGCATTTGTCAACAGTTCCCACATCATGCTATTTGAAAAATCACATCTAACTGTAGAGAAGAAACTGGAACATCTCAGCTCTATGTAATAACTCATGGCAAATGTTTGCTTTTTCAAAGGAACGCTCGCAGTTTCCATTGGCACTCTTTGCCAATAGAACCATAAAGTCTGAATATGACTGTAAGATTGCTACTGCCAGATCTCTGAAATATCTGCTTTTCCAACACAAATACAACTCTGCAGCTTGCTGTGTGACAGGGTTCATGGTGAGGTAGGTCATGTGACAAGAAGGCTGAAACTCTTAGGCTGTAGCAGAGGAGTTTCACACCTAAGTGAGCTCCTCTGAGAGCTAAGTTTCCTGGGTAGCACACCCCCCAGCTTCAGTGCCCACGGGTGAGCTGACACTGGTGTGCCACTGAGCTTTATAAATGCCTGAGGTACAGCCTGAACTGTAAAGAAGTCCAAAAGAAAAAAAAAAAAAACACAACAACAACAAACCTGTGGAAAAGTATTTACTTTTCTTTTACTGGGTGAATTTTCTGCCAGTGAGCTGGCTCACGGTAGAATCAGATAAGCACCAGTGCCAGCACAAGGGATGGAGGAAGACCATATGGCCAAGGATGTGGGAGACAGGAAGGTGGGAGCACAGCATCATCATTTTGTATATGCTTATACTTTCAAAGTACTGCAACATCCTTGCGTGAAACCTGCATTCCTGCATCAGAGAAGGCTACAGGTTTATTCTCCCTGAGGCTTTGAGATAATAAATTGTGTACTTGGTTTACAAGAAATACATTCTAGCTGCCAATTCTGTATATTAAGTCTCATGCTTAAATGCCAAAACTTTTGCCAGCACCTTCTGATTTCAGCTATCTATACTTCCATGCTGTAGTCTGATACTCAAATGAGGCACTCAGCATTAACACTGGATTTTGAAAATACAAGCCTGAGAATTGAACAGGAGTCTTTGCATTTTGTGTATCATTACCAGTAATAAAGACGCACAGTTTAGATATTCAGTGACATCAGTGTCTTCAAATGCATAGATGTAGCCAGCTAAGTTTCAGTAAATAACTTTGTCAAAGAAGTACCCAGAGAAATAGAATCTAGTTCCCCTTTTCTATGTTGTGTTGTGTCTGCAGGGCAAACAGAAGTCCAAAGCAAAAAGAAATTGTATTTGTCATTTTAGAGTTAGTACAAATAACTCTGAGTATACTTAGGAAGCAAATCTATGCTCTCTCTAATGACTTCTCTGCAGAGAACTGCACATTCATGCTGCTAAAGTTCAATGTATTTAAGGTAATCATTCCCTTCTGTCTCTGAGAAGCATTATTGTTGGCACAGATAACATGCACATGCTTTCTTGCATGATTCGCTGAGTTGTAATGTACAGGGAAAAGTGTATTAAAGAGATTTGTTTCCAAGACTACACAGTTGCAGAACTTAAGAATTTAAAAAAGCAAGATAGCTCCTTTGACCCCTCTGAGAAGCAGTGAGTCCCTTTAACATTTTTTTGCAGCCAAGAAGAAATGTGGATATGTACCAGATCACCAAAGATTCCACACAATAAAAGGCATTATATCTCGATTTGGAAAAGGCACATTACTGCAGGTCATAGAAAGCAAGAGAACTCCACTGAAGTCATTGTAAATCAAGCCATACAAGACCTTGGAGAGAAGAACTTCAAACAAAGACAAGTAAGAAAAGGTAAATCACCAAGCCAAATTCTCAGGCAAAATGCACTAACAAACTCAAAATATGAGAGAAAGTCCTCTTACCCCATATACCTTCTTGGCTCCTGCCTTTGCAGCAAACATAGAGAGGATTCCTGTGCCACTTCCAACATCAAGGACAATCTTATCTTTAAAAACATGTTTATTGTGATACATTGAGTTTCTATAGGTTAATGTGCGCACTTCATCCTTTAACATTTCCTGTGACCAAAAAAAAAAGCATTGTGTTATTATTTGAAGTGCTTATATGCATTCAACACTGCTGCTGAATGCATTCCCTTATTATAATTTAAGCATTATTACCACACAACCTGAAGAGTTTTTCAAGTACTTTGGGGTGCACACATCAAAGCAACTGTAAAATGCTAGCTACTTAGACTTGAATTATTAAGAAGAAGCATGATGTCCTTTCTACAATTTTATTTCTCTAAATATTATTTCACTGTTACAATTGACAACCAGAATGTAATCTAATCACAGCACCACTTTGGGCATAAACAGAAGCCATACAGAAATCCAAACTTTCCTTTTTCTCCTAAATCATGCACAACCTAGAGCCTCAGCAGAGGGACTTTCTGAGGTTCCTCTTTGAACACAAAAGAAATCATTCCATAAACCATAATCATAGAATCATAGAATACCAGGTTGGAAAGGACCTCAAGGATCATCTGGTCCAACCTTTCTAGCACAATCTAGATGAGATGGCCCAGCACCATGTTCAGCTGAGTCTTAAATGTGTTCA